GATAAGCTATTTCTTTTTTGTTAATTCTATTTGTACCTTCTACTTTTGTTAAACAAAAATAGCAGTCAATTTTATCTTCTAGTTCTTTCCATTTTGTTGGTATTGCAAATTTTAATTTGGCTTTGTCTTGATTAGAATTAAAACCATTCATGATTGAGTAACATGAACAACAGATAAAATGCGGAATCCAATGTTGATGTTGCTGTGAAATTTTAATACCAAAGCATGTCTCATACAATAACATAATTTTTTTTGCAATTCTTCTTTTATTTTGGTAACCAATGTATTCTGAGCATATTGTTGAGAATTTTTTAATTTATTACATAGTCCAAATTAGTTAAAAACTTTCGGGCCTGACTCTACGATCATTTATTAAAAGTCAACGTTAACTTAAATGCATTTTTTTTAATTTCAGAAGAGCGTTACACTGTTAGAAATTCTGGGGGTACTTTTCAAACAAATGTAATTGAAGTAGTTCTACAAGTTCGTCATTGATACAAAATTTTGTTATGCACTGATGATATCAAATAGTATTTTTAAGTTTCACAAATTTATCAAAAATTACAAAACTGTTATTGATAAAGACGAGCTAAAAGTATTTTAAAACAGCATTTAATAAATATTTTAAATTTAATTACGTTTTGTAAAAATTCAAAATGTTTTGGAATGTAATGTTATGAAATAGTATATTACGATATGTAATGGCATATTGCAGACTTAAAAAAATTTTGTTTCAAATACGTTTTGAAAATTACATTACGCGCAATATTATTCTGTAAACTAGCAACCACAACATTTTTTAATTTTTCAATGACTGTTTTATGATGTAATATTAAGTTACATTATTTATGTTCCAAAATTATTTTGAATTGTATAGGTACCGAGCTATACTTACTAAGTCCGAATTTCATTCCACCCAGGTAGAATTTTCAAAAGAATTATATGTATGGGAGCTGTCGTTGGCTAAATGGTTAGTGTGCTAGCTATCAGTAACAACATAGCTGAAGACTTGTGGGTTCAATTCATCATGGTTGGGGCACTTAGATTTTTTCTGGTGACCATAAGGTAAAGTACCCAATTGTGGTCCCCTTACCTCAGTTAATGGTCCATATCTGAATTAACCATTAATAAATAATTGTTAATCAAGTTTAAAGCCTGTAAGTTAATAGTAAATCAAAACATAAGGCACTGAGCAAAGAATTAAATAAATTTTCTCCCGATTATCATAAAATTAGCATGTTTTTCAACGTATTTATTATCGTCATATGCAGTGCGTATAGCAAGTCGGTTTAGTTGTGCAGGTGTTAATGCGCTTTTCGTCAACTTTGAAATACAGGTTTAAAATTTTGTATTATGTTTTGTGCAATGTTTTTCATATGAATCGAAAGCTTATAGTTTAAGGATTTGACGTATTACCAATAAAAAATTGAAAAAATAGAATTTCATTAAAAATTTCGATGGTCCATCAAAAGGTGTCCTTATGGTGAATGTACCCCAGTTTTTGGCCCGCAATTACAACGGTCCATAATTACCGGCCCTTTTGCTCAGTCCCACTGTTAAAGCGAAGTACCCCAATTGTAAGAGTGTATTTTTTTTTTAGTTTGCTGGTTACAATGATTTAATTGTCAGTAAATCAGTTTTAAAGTGCTACTGTAAGTATAATTTACCGTCTCAATCACACAATTGACTCAGTGATGATTGTTGTACGATTACTTAATATAAACAGATTCACATAACCCTACTTATAAAGAAGTTGCTAATGCTTTTAAGTTTTCATTAAATTCAAGCCTTTATTGATAATAAAAGTTCAAAAGATGCATGCACACTTTCAATTTTCCTTACTGTTTTTCACATAGGTTCTTATATTTTTAGACAGAAACGGATTCAAGAGATGTTATCAAAGGTTTTAGAGAAAAAATTAAAGTTATTGCAGAAAAAATAAAAAAAAAAGAAATTATTGACATTGGGCCCTCGAGGTTTGTTTTGACAATAATCTCATTATAATCATTACTGCGAGATTATTGAAACTGGTACTTGTCGTGATCGAGTATTTGCATCGGCCCAAGGTATTTTTATTTTTTTAACAATAATAAAGAAAATAAAAGTTAGGGGGGTTTTATTGCCATTCGACGGGCAAAGTGTCGATTCGCGGCGTAGCGTGGAGCACTCGAGGGGTGTAGGCACATCAAGTGTACGATAGGTGTGGGAGAAAAAAAAAAAATAAAAATAAAAAAAAAAATAAAGCAAAAATGATGTATTACAATGAGGAGGAAACGCCACAGGACAGCCGGCATAATCCGGGAGTTACAGGGAAAACCTTTTCGCCGTTTCGTCTGACGGAGCTTTATAACCGCCCCCTTTTTTTTTCCTTACACCCCTGCAACGCACTCCTCTCGATTCACTCCAAAGATCAACTTTGTCCCATAATTCACGCCTTTATACGACCTGACCGATATAAATTGTGGCTTATTTGCCGCACGATTCGTGAGTACGTGCGCGCGCGTTGGGAGAGTGCAGATAATAAATATGATGAGAGGAAATTCATATTTGTCTGTCTTGTTTGACGCCCGGTGTGCTCGAAGGTTGTTTATACATTGTGTTGGTAAATTTTTATATTACTTCANAGGTCATATTTTTAAAAGCTAATTATTAAATAAATGAGCAAAAATTTTAAGTAAATTTTGTAAAGTTTCATTCAAAAAGGCATTTAAAATGAATTAAACAAATAACTTTTGCATACTATCGGTGTTTTGTGTGTGTAATATTCATTATATTGCTGACCTCAACATTTAGGGGACCACAATTGGGTACTTTACCTTATTTACTTCCCCTTTACCCCTTTCATCCCTTTTCTCTCTATTCATTCGAAAACCGAACTGATCGCACATGCATTTGGTCACAACCCTTGTATTATATTCCAAGGCCTTGTGTTGCCTCCCCTGATCAGAAAATGTCAGCTTTTAGCCACTATTTTCGCGAAAGGGATTGCCCACCAGGTCATATCATCATCAAATGTGATCAGGACCATCTGCGGCCCCTATTACAGAATTTTTCTTACAGCCGATTGACCTGATCAGGCCGGAGGCGAACCTTTGAAAAATTCGCGGATAATAATAAGAAGACTCACTGGAAACTTATAAACTGAACTTGATATTTTCTCTTGCGAGTTTCTAATTGTCACCCTGACACTTAGCGGTTGAAAACGACACTAGCTGGTGTTGTATTGTATATCTATATAGTTGTACGATATGTCAGGGGTAGATGTCGTTAGATGTAGACTGGAGTGAGAGAAAAACGATGATACAAATTAAAAAATTATTAATAAATTTTAATTTAATCCTTTAAGAAAGTTGATACAGTTGTCGCATTATTTAAATAAGTAGCGTAACTACTCAGTTTCTTTGATAAAATATCGCGAGTCCAGTCAATGGTGCGACGTTTCAGTGATAATACTTACAATAAAATACTCAACAAAAATCTAACTAGCAAAATATTTGCAATGTAATGTTATGAAATAAAGTTTGTTATTAATTGTTTAAACAAATATATAAATACTTAGAGACTTGTTTCCGTAAAATACAGAGGATTTTTCGTGCTAAACTATTCACGACTTTTTGACGTTTGTACTTACACGTCGCAATATCTTACAAATTACGTTAAGAGAAATTTGGCATATATTATAAATATGGCACATATGCATGGGCACGCTTTTGTTCGTCTCCACTTGCCATTGTTGCTCGCTCGACTCTTTTTTTTACTTCGTATTTGTAAACCCACTTAAGAGGGAGCTTGCACGGTTAGAGACGTCATCGCAAGGGTGTACGAACAATTTTTGTGACTGCCCGTTTTTGCGAACGAGTACGGGGATGAAGATGGTTCAAAGCACGTTTGGTGGTAATTCAATGTTTAAATAAGCGTTAGATTTGCCATTTGATTCACTCTGTGTGCCAAATGTCTAGTTAAAAAATACGAAAGACTTAGACTTGATTGCCATATTTTAAATTTGCACGCGTTTCAGTTATGAGTACGTGATTTGCCACTAACTCTGTAGTCCAATTGTGGAACGTAACGTTAACGAGTCTTTGTATTGGAAAGTGCTTGCAAGTTTTCATTTTATTACTTCTTACTTCAATTGCTGAATATGCATTATCTATACTACAGAATAATAACAAGGCATTTTAAGATGACAATCAGCGAATCATTTTTTAAAAGTACCTTTTTGCTTATGCCAAGATAAAAAGAGTGAAAGTAAATTAGGTTTGGGAAATAAATCGGTAACATGAATGCAAAGAGCTAAAGTACCGCGAATCGTGGCAAGAGATTTCAAATACAAAAAAGAAAGTACAGCGTAAAAGAAAGAGAGAGAGAGAGAGAAATTAAAGCGGTGAAATATGTATAAAAATGTTCACCTTCAACATGCATGTTATACCAATATATTTGGTGGTACGGGCAGGAGGTGGGGCCAGAGAAATCTCTGTCTCTGAGCCACCTCAGAGTTCGGACGTGTTTGTTTATGTCCTGTCTAACGAGTGCAACTCCTAAAGATAGAGACTGCAGGTGCGAATGATTTTGTGATTGCTGCGTGTGCCTGGGTCGGCTTGATCCAGGCGCTGACCTTCCTCGTGGTGTGCTATCCTCTAGAGGCTCTGTGCCTGTCTTTTTTTTCTCCGAGTAACGACTCTGCTCTCAAAGTCGCCATCTTAACCTCAAAATGTCGTCTCATGTAGACGCCGCCGACAACAACGCCTTGCCTAGCCAGCTTCAGATTACAAGTGCTTCTTCAGGCAGCACTAATCATTTCAACAGCACACAACCAAATAATGCCTACACAGGCATAGCACAAAATGCAAACCGACTCAATAACAGCCATACACTGCATCGCGACCGAAAAACGTATGCTCAGATGGCTTCTAATGATATTAACTACACCGAAGATATGGCAGTTATAGTTGATGCGATTGAAGGTGTCCCGTGCACGGATTTTGTTTGTAAAATTGCAAACCATTTAGATCCACTCAAAATGAAGTTCGCTTCTCCCATTTCCAACCAACGAATTTGTGTGTATCTTGATAGCATTGAGTCAGTTAAATATCTGTGCGACAAAGTAAAGTCAATAAAAGTAAATAATCAAGAAGTCAACATTCGGCCTTTAAGATCAAGAAACAAAAGAGTCATTATTTCCAATGCAAGTCCTGTCATCTCTAACGCTACCCTCATTGAAGAACTGAAAAAAATGGGCATTGATCCAGTCTCTCACATTAATTACCTGAGAATTAATAGCAATCTACCCAAATTTTCACACTTAGGAAGCTTCAGACGACAAATCTATATAAGAGAGGAGGACGAAGCCAAACTTGTTTCCTCTGTTCCAGTCAGTAATGGTAACATTGTTTACCACGTATATTTCTCGACAAACAAACCCACTTGCTTCTTGTGTAAAGAGAAAGGTCATTTGGCAAAGGACTGCCAACAACAACAGACAAATATTTCACAAGAAAAGTTTCCTCCCTTACAAGACTTGGGAAATGGCTTCCCTCCAACATGCAGCGATCTCAACAGTGCTCAAAATAATTATGCTAACACTGTTAACATACCCAACCTCAACGACCTTGAAATTATGCCACCTCCGCTCGCTGCAATTCATGGAAAAAAAAGGCATGCTGAATCCGACTCTAGTTCACAAACATCTATCACAAACCCTTCCAATGCCCGGCTCCTTAAAAATAAGCCAAAAAGGAAAAAAACCGAGCCTCATCAAGCAACACTTCCAAATGCCAACATATCTCACGATGAAATCAATATCCAACTTGAATCTGTATCGAAGCATCTCCAAGANGTTCACAAACATCTATCACAAACCCTTCCAATGCCCGGCTCCTTAAAAATAAGCCAAAAAGGAAAAAAACCGAGCCTCATCAAGCAACACTTCCAAATGCCAACATATCTCACGATGAAATCAATATCCAACTTGAATCTGTATCGAAGCATCTCCAAGATAATCACATCCAATTAGCAGTCAACTGGGAAAAACTTACAACGTTTCTTTTCTTGTCTTATGGCAAATCCAATGTTTCCGATATTCTCACTTCACTAAATGTAGTGTAGAGAATATGGACGAATCTCTCCAAGTGATAAGAAATCTAGTCAACGACAACAATTTAAAACACCGAATCTCCAGAATAAGAAAAAAATTCGGGTTAAGCCGTCTGTATCCCGATTCGGAATCTACTTTTGACGAATCAAGCTCGTGTGAGGAGCTTGGCTAATTTTTAATCTATTTATATATACATAAAACCAGAGAATTCTCTGTCTCTGAGC